AATATATATATATGGAACACAGACCTCCATATTGTACCGATGTAAGATGTTTGGACATATCCCTGATAAATCTCACAAGCTTTATCCTAATTTGAAATCTTAGGTTCAAGTGGATAAGGATGTGTCTAACCCTACTGCTCCGGATATTTTAGTTCCACCCGAGAAGGATACTGCCAGACAGAAGGTGTCTGTTGCCCCTGTGGACCCCCTTGACGCTGTTGTTACTGTCACTGCGATTGATGTGATGCCGACACCTTCAAACCCCATAAAAAACAATACTGAAGAACTTTTACCTACGAAGAATAGTGTTTAGACTGATAATCAGGAGAACCTCGTAGCTCCTCGTTTTCTGAAGTATCCGGTGTAGAGGCAACTCATACTTCACATTTACTAGAACCTATTGTGGGTACTACGGTTGGTAATTCTTCTGTTACAGCTCTACCACCTCACCAGACTGATTCTTTGGATGAAGGATAACATGTTTACACTTCCAGGAGGAAGAAGAAGAATGGAGATCTACTCGAGCTCAGGAGTCTTATGGATGATACTTTGGTTACTTCGGTTAATGATACGCACCTTATCAATTTGTTAGCTAGATACATTCCGAGAACTAGAGGCAAAGACAGAACTAAATTAGGATGACCCTTAGTGCCCCGGTAGTTTTGGTTTTTTTTCATTTTTATTTTTATATGTACCCATTTTGACTTTTTTGTGTGTTGTACCATATGGGTTGGACGCCTACTTTTATGCCCACTCATACAACTTATCTGTATCTTTTCTCTTTAATATATATATATATATATATATATATATATATATATATATATATATATATTAAAGGTTCATAAAAAGTGAAGGATGCGCAGAATATTGTTGATTCGTTGGAAGCCCAACTTCAAATTTCTCCACACTTGATGGATAATGTTGCCCAAGCACATTTAGATCTTATGGACGCTATTGCTTTAGAGGAAAATTTACTTAAACAAAAAGCTAATGATTTTGCTTTTGTTGCAGGAGATCGAAACACTAATTAACCATGCAACTCTTAAGCATAGAAGAAACATCAATAGCATTTTAAAAATTAAAAAAAGCTGATGGGAATATTATCACAAATATGGAAGAGATTGGAGACAGTGTTGTTAGCTTTTATACTGAATTATTTCATAACTCTTCTCATACTATGCCTGTTGATCCTACCTATTTTGAGAAGGATTATGACTATACTAATAATCTTAGTTTGGTTTATCCTCCTGATGAACAGGAAACCTTGAATGCTTTCAAATCTATCTGTCATAATAAAGTCCCGGGTCTTGATGGGTTTTCTTCTGCTTTCTACATACATGCTTGGGAAATTATTATGGAGATTACTCTTGTTATTCAAAGCTTTTTCCTTGGAAATAATCCTGGTAAATATTTCATCTTGGTACTTATTGTTCTTATTCCTAAAGGTAATGATAAAGTCACTTGGGACAATTTTCGTCTACTATCACTCACTACAGTGATATCTAAAGCCTTGAGTAAGATTATTGTTAGTAGACTTCAGCTTCATCTCAATCATATCATTGTTGAACAGCAGTCTGCTTTCATTAAGGGCAGGGAAATTACTGACAATATTCTCTTAAGAATTGATTGAGGAGTTGGATAAAAAGTGCAGAGGGGGCAATATGGTTCTCAAG